TAGGTAGGAGGCCCTCTGTAGAGTGAAGGCCCTCTGAAGAGAGGAGGCCCTTTGCAGAGATGAGGTCCTCTGTATAGAGGAGGTCCTGTGTAGAGACGAGACTCTTTGAAGAGAGGAGGCCCTATATAGATAGGAAGCCCTCTGAAGAGAGGAGGTCCCTGTAGAGACTAGAGAGGAGGCCCTCTGTAGAGAGGATGCCCTCTGTAAAGGAGGCCCTCTGGAGAGAAAGACACCCTCAGCAGAGAGGAGGCCCTCTGTAGATAAGAGGCAATCTGTAGAGAGGAAGCCCTCTGTAGATAAGAGGCCCTCTTGGGCAGGAGGCCCCCGGTAGTCAAAGACAGCGTCGTATATTAAGTACATAGAGTGGAGGCCCACTGTAAGCAAGCTTCTGGTCCCTGCTACTCTCTATAGAGAGTTCTCAGTTTTCACTATAGTGAGAACTGAGAACTCAGGAAACTGTACAGAATAGACTCCGAACCGCGTCGCCGCCCACTGTAGGAAGGGACAGGGGCTCTGTAATGAGGAGGTCCTCTGTAAACAGAAGGCCCTATCTTATGTAGACAAATTAGTTGTATAAATGCGCTCAGAGAAATCATGCCGGGTGCCGTCAACGGTTTTGCCGTCAACGGTTTTACCTGGTGTTTTAGAGCGATGAAAACACAACTAAGGTGTTTTTATCGCTCTAGCATGCCTCTATCAAAAGTTATTCGCGAAAAACAGTCAGATACCATTGGTGACCTGAGATGACCTCAGGGTTATAAAAGGGGTCAAGGGTGCCATTTTCATGATCAGTGTGTCAAAGATACTAGTAATTCAGTGTTTTAGTGTTTATAAATTATAATGACCTCCGCAGTGTTGCCGTCCTGGTACTTTAGCACCAGATCTGGTACTTTTTCGACCTTTCTGGTACGGAGGTACGCCTAAACGAAATCTGGTACTTTTTCTTCGAAATGCATTTTTTTGGCATTTTGATATTTCTTTCAATATAAGTAAAAGACAAAACAATTCTTTTAGTCCGGAGGGATGGTGCTTCTAAATTTATCATCATAATTTGTCATGCAACGGATTCAGAATTATTAATACCTATTCCTGTTGTGTGCTAGCAGAAGTAAACAAGTGTGAAATTCGCGCGCCACGCCGGCTGCCAGTGCCAAGTACCATTGCCAATTGCCAAGGACGGTCCGCCGGCTGCAGGCTGGGCAATATCACTGTGGCAATTTTCGGATTGTAAGCTAGGATCCTGGGTGCAATCGCCAGTCTCAACTGGAGTACCCCCCCCCCTCTCGAAGGCAGGATTTCGATTTCTCTATTTTTATGCCAATTTTAAGTAGGACACAATTCGGGAGCTTTCAGAAGAGCGCCTTCGGCCTTTCTGCCTTTCAAGGAGCGACGCGGGGAGACGAATGGGTCGAACTACGGGGTCAAATGAGCCATAAATTACTTGCTGGCATGAATATACCGAAATTGTGGCTATTTTAAAGTACTTAATTAATAACAATTTGACCTACTGCGATCTGGTACGGTACGCAGCCAGAAACAGCCAATCTGGCCGCGGCAACACTGGACCTCCGTCTAAAAGAGTTCCGTCTCTCTCCCCGGCGATTTTCAATTTTAGGTCGCAAAATTGACGTGACCTTATGTCATCGATATCAAAATTCCAAGACATACATTTTGTGCATTTTGTCGCTCTTGTGCATTTGCATCTCTGAAAGTTCCAAAGCGTTTGGTCACTCCGTGTAGCTTTGGCAGACATTGAAACTTTTTATGTAGTGAGGTCATTTGACCTGACCTGGTGACCTGGCCTTAAGTGACCAGGGTCTGAAATTTTCAAAACACATGTACAAATGATGTAGGATAAAGTGTGCCGCGCCGCCGTTTTTGAGATATTCACGGAAAACTGCAGGGGGTGTTTAAACACCCCCGGCAGGGCGCGGGTTAATCCATGAACATAGCTCAGCCCACTTCTGTAATATATGCCTGTGGCTGTGTTGGTATTTTTACGATGGATGCAATAACCCAAACCATTTACCAGATCGTGGTGATATTCCCATAGCCATGCTTCGCACAACTCATAATAATTTATTTGACCGGGTTATTAATATATATCCATCGATTGTTTGTTTCATCTACGGCGTAAATGAAGCAAACCACCTGGACCTGGGAAAATTTACTAACGAAACCATGTTTTACCTACAGCAAGTAAACGTGACATGCATCATTCACATAGAAAGAATTGATAACCGTATAGTTTCAATCTTGCAGACGTCAGTCAGGTCAGAATCGTGACAAGCCTATTGGAAAATATAATGAACTGTGTCCTGCTTCGAGAAAACGAGTCAAAACCACCCAATTCTTTCTGAATTACGTCAGATTATCTGATCTGTAAGCACCCAGGTAGCATTTACTGACAGGGACACCGGGAAGGATCATCTGAGGTGAGGTGAGGTCATCAACAGTTTTTAGCCAATAAATCACGTCATGATGGGGCTAAATAGTTGTTAGTGTACCAAACTGTTCGCCTGGTCATGAGCATGACGCGTTGATTGGTACCCAGCGTGACCTTCCTAGGTCAGATTTTGAAGTTGACCTATCTATGTATAGGTCATTATAAACCATGTTATTTGTTATGACCTCTGGCGACCTCAATATTGACCTGACCCAAAAAAAGTTGTTTACAAAAGTTGTAAGTCGTTCAACGAACTATCAAACGCCGTTGCCGTTTGTCGCTACGATTCGTGCTTTTCGAGTTCTGACGGGGGCCAAAAAGGCCCCCGCCTGATTCAGAGTCTTTCAGAGCCCGCCCGGAATACGGTTAAGCGCCATGATAATACACCAAGTGTTACTCTGACCGTCATCCAGTATCCACCCATTCCTCGCAGATCCTCCCCCTCCTGCTGCGGTCCGGCCGCCACCGCCGCCGCCGCCGGCGCCCGAGATTTTTTTTGCCAGTTACCATGCCACTCGGTGACTTGTGATATGCGTATGTTTCTTACCGCTGCAGCGGTAAGAAACATACCAGTGCGCTGGCCATATAAAAGCTGAACAAAAGTGAATGCATTATGTTGTATGTAATTATGTAGGCATGAGACCCTCTGTAGAAAGGAGGCCCCTTTAGGGAGGAGGCCCTCTGTAGAAAGGAGGCCCCCCGGGATTCCTCCGCCCCTCCCTTGGCCAAATCCTAGCTACGTGCCTGGGGACCATGCAAGTAGGTACTCAAAGCTGTCAAACAAAGACACAATCAAACAAAGACTACACTCATTCGTTTACATGTAATTGTACATCAACCAGGCCTGCCTATTGACTAGGGCCGGTCTCCGGCTGGTTTTGTTAGGTCTAGTTTCAGGCAGAACATGAACGGCGTTGATGTACTTGGGAGTTTTTACAGCGTTAACTTAACAATGCTTTATGCTACAGCCGAGTCTGCAACTCAACCTGGTCGTTACTCAGCATTGCCGTCATCACAGAGCTTCAAATCGATCAGCTACAGGCTGAACACGTACCAGTATGTTCAATAAGTAAGTTCCGTTTTGATATAACTCGTTTATTTTTTGGCACATCTCAACCAAACATGGCTCACGGCTCGACAAACTCGCCCTGCAGGCGAACGCATCGTTCCCATCGCTTGGCCAGGTCCCGGATGGCCGCACGGAAGCTTTGAGTGAGGGTCATTTCGCCATACTGGTAAAAAGCAGACCCGAGTGCAGGCCGCGAGCCGAACCTCCGGCCCCAGAGATTTTTCTTCATGTCTGCGAACAGCCAATAGTCACTGCGTGCCGTTGGGAGAGTAGGGATGGTGTTAGAGCACCTCGATGCCCTCTGCCTGCAGGGCATCCCTCGCCACGAGGGCACGGTGAGGGGGCGCGCAATCCTGGTGGAGGATGAACCGACCACGGGCCTTCTCGGGGCGGCAACTGGCGATTACTGGCAGGAGATGGTCTCTAATGATCCTGGCGTAGGCTTGTTTAAGCTTTCTGTTATCGCCTGGACAGTAATCTTTCTGTTGGCCATCACCATCTCCTCCACTTTGGCGACGTCAGTGGCTGTGACCATCGTCCTCAGCCTGCCTGCACGTGCCAGGTCGCGCACGCTCTCCCTCCCCTCCCCAAACTTTTTCTTCCGCTTCCGAACTGCGGAATCACTAAGAGCATGGCTCCCGTACACATTCACGAAGTTGGCGTGGATGTTAGCCGCCGGCTAGCCCTGGATAGCTAGGAATCGTATCACTGAACGTTGATCCTCTCGGGAGGCCGATGCCATTTCTAAAGCAGTCTAAAAATATGGTGTTATTTGATCCGCTCCATATCGTCACAGAAATGGAATAAGAAGCTGAAAATGCGGTCACTTCGACATAAAGGTCTGAATTCTAATCCCTGAAAAAATCACGTGCGTAGACCGCGTGAATTTTATGTAATTGCTCTCCGGAACTTACTTATTGAACGCACCTAGGGTATTACTTATTGAAATTATAGGGTATAGGAAGACGTCCAAAAACTGTTGGCCATAGTATCTGTAGTGGGATCTACGTTCCATGCTGGTCGGGCATTTTGCAAAATGCCTAGTCATTTTGTAAAATGGCTAACCATTTTGAAAAAAAGCCTGGTTGCGTTCAGTCATTTTTCAAACAGCCGTCTTTTTGTAAAATGCCTAGACATTTTACAAAATGACTGATTTTCTAAAGTGCCTGCAACATATACACGGCAGTGCAGTGGTACGAATCGTTTTCGGCACCCGCTACGCGGGACAGCCTTGACCGCACGCTTCCTGTCACGCACCCCAGGTGGCACCGCACTGGTGCGCACGCTGGGGCTGTGGTAGATTGTCACACAGCCTCTTGGCTGGCGTGCCTGGGTGCGCCACTGGCCGCCCTATCCGTCGTCCCTGAGAGCGGGCTTGCGCTCGCTTGACCTATAGCCGGGGGCGCTCAGCTGTGCGGTGTGGGTTGAGTCTGGTCAGCTGATCGAGTGGGAATACAGTTCTGACCGGTGATCGGAGGAGTGTGGTGCTGTGGTGCCGAGCTGGGTTCACGCTATAACATTGGCGACGAGGTATTTGAACAGAAGAAATTGAAATGCCGGTGGGCAGAGTAGAGCCATTTAATGTGGAGGAAGAGAACTGGGAAGAATATGTCGAGCGTATGGAAGAGTATTTTGTGGCAAATGACATCACAGATGAGGCCAAGAAACGTTCGACTCTGCTCTGCAACATCGGATCCAAGGCATACGGTATCGTACGATCGCTACTATCCCCTGTTAAACCGGCGAGTGCAACGTATCAGCTGATTGTGGAGAAACTAACGACCCATTATCACCCCAAGCCGTTGGTAACGGTCGCACGGTTTCGATTTTTTTCATGCTACCGTCTACCAGGAGAATCGATACAAACGTATATCGCTCGTCTCAGACAGTTCGCTGGTGATTGTCAGTTCGGTACATTTCTAGAAGAGATGATTCGCGACCGACTCGTATGTGGTGTGAAGTCTGACCTGATCCAGTCCAGGCTGTTGTCAGAACCCGAGTTGTCTCTGAAGAAAGCGACAGAGATGGCGGTAGCCATGGAGACAGCCGGTCGGAATCTGCAGGAGCTGTCGGGAGCGGAGGCGGCCGATCCGCCGCGACAAGAGGTGCAGCAGATTCGGTCACAGCAGCGGAGCCGGCCGACCGCAGCGGGGCCAGCGACACAGCAGCGAGCTCCAAGGGGCCCAGCTCAGCAGGCTGGCATGACACATCACACAAGTAAGGCCTTGGAGGGCGGGAAAGATAAGTGCTGGAGGTGTTTGAGTAACCGGCATGCAGAAGAGGACTGTTATTTTCGCCGAAAGAAATGCTTTCAATGTTTTCGTTATGGACACACCAGTGCAGCCCACCGAGCTGGCACGGTGAACAGTGTGGGGATGTTACCCGAGTCTGAGTCACAGGAGGGTGCCGAGGGTGGACTGGAGATGGAAGTAGAGACTGGTGAGGTTGACGCTCTGGTTAGCGATCTGTTCACATGTGCAGAGGAGCGGCCGAGTCTGGTGAAGCCTCCAATCAAGGTCGACGTCAGCATCAACGGTCAGTCGGTGCAGATGGAGCTGGACACCGGCGCCGCCGTCTCCGTCTGCACGTACCGCCGCTTCAAGGAGCTCTGGCCGGACGGAGACAGGTTGCTGCAGCCGAGCAGCCGTCTGCTTCGCACGTTCTCCGGTGAGAAGCTCTCAGTCCGAGGTGAGGCGTGGGTGAACGTGCTGTATCAGGGTGTCAGTCATCGATTGCCATTGACTGTGGTGGAGAGTAACGGTCCGATGTTACTAGGCCGTAACTGGTTGGGAGAGATCAAGTTGGACTGGCACAATATTTTTGCGATGACTCTGAGTCCAGCCATGGGAACACTGCTCGAAAAATACTCCGAGCTATTCAAGGACGATCTGGGCTGTGCGAGGGATGTAGAGCTCAACATTCCAGTGGATCCAGCCGTGAAGCCCATCTTCTACAAGCCTCGGACGGTGCCACTCGCCTACCGGGAGAAGGTGGACGCCGAGTTGGAGCGGCAGATCAAGGAAGGTTTGTTGGTGCCGGTCAAGTGGAACGACTGGGCGACGCCCATCGTGACCTGCCAGAAGGCCTCAGGTGAGATCAGAATCGCAGCAGACTATCGTCTCACAGTAAACAAGGTCACGCCGTTAGAAAAGTATCCTCTGCCAAAAGTAGACGAGATGTTCAGTAAACTACAAGGTGCGACAGTGTACAGTCAGATAGATTTGAAAAATGCGTACAACCATCTGCCATTAGAGGAGAAGAGTCGCAAATATTTGGCCATAAACACACACAAGGGCTTGTTGGTGCCAACCAGACTGGGATACGGGTACGCGAGTGCTCCGGCCATCTTTCAACGTTATATGGAAACTCTCTTGGCTGGAATACCAGGGGTGGGAGTGTTCCTGGATGATGTCATGATCGCTGGAAAAACCCCACAGGACCACCAGAACTCGCTGGAGATGGTGCTACAGCGGCTGGTGGCGGCCAACCTGCGCCTGCAAAAGAAGAAGTGCAAGTTTGGAGTGTCATCTATCACCTACCTGGGACACCGCATCAGCGCGGACGGCGTGAGTCCGACCGACGACAAGGTCAGTGCTATCAAAAACGCACCCGCTCCAAAAAAACTTGAAGGAGCTTCAGGCTTGGCTAGGGTTGATCAATTATTATGCCAAGTTTGTGAGAAATCTGTCCACCGTGCTGGCACCACTGTACCGCCTGCTCAAAAAGGGAGAACCCTGGCAGTGGGGACCCGATCAGAAGAGCGCGTGGCTGGCGGGGAAGAGCCTGCTGCAGTCTACGCAGGTGCTGGCTCATTTTGACGAGACGGCACCGATCGTGCTGTCTTGTGATGCCTCTCCCTACGGGGTTGGGTGTGTCTTGAGCGTGGTTGACAAGCGCCTGGGAGAGAGGCCGGTAGCCTTCTACTCGAAATCGCTCACAGACACGCAGAAACGATATTCACAGACGGACCGGGAAGGGTTGGCGGTGATTCTGGGGGTCCGCCGCTTTCATCATTGGTTGGTAGGTCGGAAATTTGTTATCCGGACCGATCATAAGCCCCTCCTGGGCATGCTGGGGGAGAACAAGCCGCTGTCCATGATGGCTTCACCGCGAGTGACTCGATGGGCAATGCTGTTGTCGGGCTATCAGTACAAGCTAGAGTATGTACCAGGATCGAGACAGGGACACTGTGATGGTCTCAGCCGTTTGCCTCTTCCGACAGCTGCTGGAGACTTGCCAGAGCCCGGCGAGACTCTGCACCTGGTGGAGATGATGGACGCTTCGCCAGTGACCGCCGCTGTGGTTCGACTGGCGACTGAACGTGACGCCACCCTCAGCAGAGTGCTGCAGTACACCCGAGACGGCTGGCCTGAGGACAGGAGCGGCGAGTCACCGGAGTTAAGTGCATATCGCACGAAGCAAGGTGAGCTCAGCATCCAGAACGGATGTCTCTTGTGGGGAGCTCGAGTCGTCATTCCAGTCAAGTTGCGGGAGAGGGTGCTACAGATGTTGCATGACGGTCATATGGGAGAGAGCCATACCAAGGGGTTTGCCAGAATGTACGTGTGGTGGCCAAACCTAGATTTTGACATAACCCAGATGGTTAAGGCGTGTGTGACCTGTCAACAATACCGCCACCAAGCGCCCGTCACGCCACTGAGTCCGTGGTCCCTCCCGTCCCGGCCATATGAGCGGGTGCACATTGACTACTGTGGCCCAGTGGAGGGGAAAATGCTGCTCATTGTAGTGGATGCATATACCAAGTGGATTGACGTACATGTAACAACTAGGGCAACAACCGAGGTTACTATGGAGGAGCTGCGGAAAACGTTTGCATACTGGGGAATTCCCAAGTTCTTGGTATCAGACAATGCTCAGTGTTTCGTGGCACCAGCGTTCCAGTCATTCTGTACTCAGAATGGTATCACACACCTGCGCACTGCGCCGTTGTCTCCAAAAAGCAACGGTCTGGCTGAGCGGGCAGTGCAGACGGTGAAGCAGGGTCTGAGGAAACAGGGGAATGGAACGCTGCACACCAAGCTGGCAAGGGTGCTGTTCACCTACCGTTCATCTCCCCACAGCACTACCGGAGTGACGCCAGCAGAGCTAATGACCGGGCGGCGCATGAGAACTCGTCTCGACTGTATGCTTCCCAGTCTGCAGGATCGTGTTGTCAGCTCGCAGTGGAAAATGAAGGAGCGGTATGATAGACAGGCACAGCAGCGCACCATACTACCAGGAATGTCTGTCCTCGTTTCACAGGTGTCGGGACTGGCCGGCGTCGGCAGGACAACACGCTGGCTACCCGGACACTGCATCAACATCTCGGGACTCAAGCTCACGGTCCGGCTGGACGACGGACGAGTCCTCCAGCGCCATCTGGACCAGGTGGTCCCGAGAGCGGTCGCCGGGAACCAGGCCGTCCGACAGCCGACGGACTGGACGGCGGCGCCGCGGCCTCCTCAAACGCCGCCGACGTCGCTGCCGACAACTCCAACGTCGCAGGCGACGCCTTCACCGCCGACGCCCTCACCGCCGACGCCTTCACCGCCGACTCCCACGCCGCTTCCGCCACCGCCAGCGGAATGTCCGGAACGGGAGAGGCCTTCGTCTCCCTCCCCAGTGGGGCGGCCGGCTCGTGGGTTGGAGGGACGGGGTGAGCTCAACTCACGATTGAAGTGTGACGTCCAATTGTCGCGAGGCGAGAGTGTTGAGTGTCGCGAGCCTGTGTCAGCGCCGCAGGTACCGCGCTATAACCTGAGACCGAGAAAATAGTTGTTAACTAGGGGGGAGGAATGTGGTAGATTGTCACACAGCCTCTTGGCTGGCGTGCCTGGGTGCGCCACTGGCCGCCCTATCCGTCGTCCCTGAGAGCGGGCTTGCGCTCGCTTGACCTATAGCCGGGGGCGCTCAGCTGTGCGGTGTGGGTTGAGTCTGGTCAGCTGATCGAGTGGGAATACAGTTCTGACCGGTGATCGGAGGAGTGTGGTGCTGTGGTGCCGAGCTGGGTTCACGCTATAACAGGGGCTATCCCGATTTCTCGGGCCCGGCAGGTCAGAGGGCTGCTCCGGGACATGAAGCGAGGCCGTGCCCTCGGGACATGTCACCGGACCGAAGGATCTGTTTAAAGGCGGATCAGGCCCGTGTACAGTCACCAGCAGTTGCTACCCATCACCCTCGGACGGCGGGGGAGCAAGCTACCACCGCCCCTGCGAGACTAGCGCCGCCATGCGCCAAGAAGTGGAAACACCACGTGACTGAGGCCACGTGAGGGCAGGGTCACGTGATGGAGGGGCGGAGCATAGTAGCTTTTGCGCCCGACACTAACTGAAATGCGGCGCTGTGATTGGGCGCCTTAGCATGAATGAAGCCCCGGCGCCAGAATCAGCCGTTCGCCTTATATGGAAAGTGAGCCTTTGCGTTTCACTGTTCTGTATTGGTTTGAGAGCCACGGCACCATACGAATTGTGAGCCCCTTTGAACGGGTCACCGCCCGAGGCACTGGGTCGACGGCTGTGCCGGGCAAAGTCTAGCCTGGTGGGAGAGGTGGGCCAGGGAAAGTGCGATCGAGCAGCCACTGGGACGTGGATTGGTATTATCCAACCGCGACAAACGATGTCAGCAGCCTCTTCTCGTGTCTATGAAACGAAAAGCTAGACAGACAACGTGGGCAGTGTCCAGTCAAAAGCTACTAAACGATCCAGTTAAGAAGTTGGCGAGGTAGCCAGACCAAATAAAAGTTTTTAATTCGATTTTGGTTGACAAATGACATACAAGCCCGCTGTGATGGACCAAAAAAGGAGCTGAACAGTTCATACAACTTATAAAAAGCTCAACGGTTTAAAAATTCAAAAGTTAAATGTTAAAATTCAGCCTGCATGTTAAAACTCTGGGCCGGCGCTGGCAGGAAGCTTATACTGCCACTTGCAATTCCACTACGTTGTAATATAACCAAGAGTTCTGTGAGAGCAGCAACTGAAAGCCCCGTTGAGGGGGAGGGCGGCGCGAAACGGTCCCCTCTCTGCTTTTCAGTCGATATCTCCTAAAGTATAGCAAATGTCGCCACTAAACTTTCAAGACCCCTGCGGGCATCATTTTTACACCTTGTGACCAAATTTTTCCAGAGCTCTTATAAAAGGTTAGCCACAAATGACGTCAGAGGGATGTCATGTTCTGTCATTTTCGACCCAATAAAAGGTTTAGCGGGAAGAGCTGTCACGCTTACAGTTTTGAAGATAACGAAAAATATTCAAGATCAAAAAGGCGTAAAATAAACAGTGCTACCAAACTCTTATTTCCAAACAAAAACTGATTTTGACCATCAAAACTATAGAAGTATAACGCCCCCAAAATACCAACAACTTTCAAAATTAAAACTGAAATATATGTTATAGAACTATCTGCTCTAGATATGCCAAACTTGAACTCGATAGCTCCATTTTTAGCAAAGTTATGGCAAAAAACTACTCAAAATTTATTCCGTAAAATTTTCAAATTCAAATTTCAGTCGTCACAGAACACACAGAGCAAGTCAAAGACCACCAATGGATTTCCTGTGATGAGCTGCATCATCGAAAAGATACCCCTTTTATGCAAAATATCAACTTTGAAATCTGACCTTCTTTGACCTGAGCTTGACTTGACCTCCACCAGAATGTAATCTAAACTGGCCCCAATGGCCGTCTAGCCCACACCATTGAATTTTAAATGTAAAATTAGCCATAAAACATGTATCACACGACCCTATAGCATAGTTGGGTTCATATTGTGACCCTTAATGACTTGACCTCTGTGAACTGACCTGGCATCAATGACCTCTTAACCCGGCAGTTGCTGGGGTATTTCGCCACCCACCGTTTGCTGGGGGGGGGCGTTAAACGCCCCCAGCCGATAACTCGAGAACCAATAGGCGCAGCGAAACGCACGAGGCGGCAAACGAAAGAGCGCGACGAGACGCTTCAGATGAGTACTTTAAAGTTGAATTTTGAGGTCACAGGTCGGGTCAAGGTCAGGTCAAACACCTGAAATCGGGCTTTCAGTAGCATGGACTTCAGGACTTCGCAATGGGCGCCTCTCGCCATAAACTCTGTCAAAACGGTGCACAATCCACCCTATAAGGCCTACAAGAGTGTCAGCTCCATATAGGGGTCAGTCAAGCATAGGTCAAGGTCAAGGTCAGGTCAACCGGGTAGGCACATATCCCCGAAAATCAAAACTGATATTCGCAGCCTGTGACACATGTTTTATAGGTAATTTGGGGCGTAGAACACGATGGTGACATTCATTTTATCATATGTGTACGTGGTCGGCTCAAAAACTTCAATTTAAGAAATTCATGTATCATGGTCGTGAAGTAGTCACGAAAAATTGCCAAGATTCAGTTCAAGATTTTGGAAAATGCGGAACGACAATCAATAATCGAAGATAGCCATTTGATTGATCATGGTATTGGCAGTCTAATGGCGTTTACGGCATGTCTGTATGTCTATTCTGTGATTTTATATGATTTTTTGAACATATGCCGTTTTTGGTCGAAAACTCAGAAATCATGACGTCACTAAAACCTCGATATCTCAAAAATTTTCCGACCGATTTTTTTGAAACTTTGTCACAATAAACTTCAATTAGTTTCCTACAGGTACCCAAAATTTGGCGCGCCTGCGGCGCGCCGTTTTTATGCTATGGCCCGGCGAAAAAAGTGGGGGCGTTAAACGCCCCCCCCCAGCAACTCGCGGGTTAAGGCAACATATGTTTTAGACAACCAACGCTACATCGATGTTTTTCGATAACATGCTTTTTGTTTGATGTGTTAACCCTCGCCCGTATTGGTGTTTTTCCAGCCGCGAACGTATAAGGGGGGGGGGGGGGTCCGTTGGACCCCCCCCCCCCCCCTTGCCGTTTCGCCCCTGATCGAGCTAGAGCTTCGCGGAAAAAACGAGCGTGTTGCCCGTGACGAGAGGAAGCCGATGATACCCAATTTTAAGGTCCCAGGTCATTGGTTGACCTTGCAGGTCAGGTCAATGACCCCAAAGGCGGGAAAATCGGACCCTGTTAGAACGTCGTAAAGTGTGGCTGCTATGGGGGTTTTCGGGGTGCTGATCACGAATATCATGTTAGTTTTGACCACAGATGATGTCTTCATGTATTTAGGCCAGGTCGGGTCAGGTCAGGTCAGGTCAACCAATAAGGGTATTCGTAGTAGGTGGCAACCGCCTCTGACAGCTTCGTAACATGTTACGAAGGCACCAAAACTACTTCGTAAATGTTCATATGGTTGCTAAATTCGAATTCAGCTCCAAAAACTGGCCTAGAAATATGTAAAACTCGAAAAAGTGAACCGAGGTCATCAAAGGTCAATGACCTGACCTGACCTTCAAGTGACCTTGACACCCACCCTAATGCATGGGAGCAACATCATATCACATGTTTGAACGCTTGAAACCACGAAAAGACTGCAAACGCGCGGCTAATGCGAGCCGACATGCGCCGAATCGCGATTCCAGCCAAACATGGTCTCGAAAAGTAGGTCACAGGTCAAAGGTCATTTGGGTCAGGGTCATGAAATTTTCAGGGTAGGTGTGAAATTGATAAACGCGAGGGTACTGAAAGTTTCGTCGCGATCGGCCGCTATTTACGCGAGTTATTCGCGAAAAACCATGGGGGGGGGTCCGTTCGACCCCCCCTATACGGGCGAGGGTTAACTGACTGTAACGCATTCCTTAGACTAAATCGGTGAAAAAATGCGACCTTTGACCTGACTTGTGGCGTCATGGGTTGCACCTAGGTCAACGAAACCTGGTAACAAGGTAGTTCCGTGGTGGGGCTATCGAACGCTCTTTGAATGTTCAAAATCGGTCGGTAACTTTCCGAGATCTCAAGTGGAAGGTGAAACGGCTGCACCACCCGATCAGGTGGTAGGGTCCGCCTATTAATAGCCCAAGGGGGCGCGGATTATTTATTCACTCATACAGTGTCATTTATTTTGAGAACACCTTTCTCACGCCATGACAGGCACCTCTCGTAATAGAACGAGATGAGGAGAGTGTTTTCACGCCTCCTTATGCACGGCTCTAAGTGTCATTGAGCTATCAACTGTCAGCGGTTTTCGGACAATGAAGTTCTTTCTTAGTCCTTACTGAATCCAATTTTATTTCAAACGATTGTCACTGTGCTAGTTTTCTTCTTATACGTTTTTGAAAAAGCGCTGAAGAAGTCTTTGATAGACGAAACCGGTCCGCTTATTCTTTTTCTAATTGTTTTTTGAATATATTCGTAGACTACCGGCTCTTTACTACAAAATTTGAGAATGTTTGGTATTACTTTGACCCGAACGATGTGCAGCTGAATTTTCCCTCTTAAATGATTATGGACAGCTCGCGAAATTAACTTCAACCTAAACTACGACAAGCAGAAGAAAATCCGATACAAGCCTACCTCAATCCTCTCACCTTATTCAACCGTTGAAACGTTAAAGGCATTAATTCAGTCCGAGTCGCTATGTCGACCACCCGCGCCGTGCTGGGGGAGGGGCGTTTTTACGCCCTTCCCCCTCAGGTTTTTCGCGAATATCTCAAAAACGGTGACGCGACGCGTAGCGTCATTCAATGTCTGGTCACCAGGTAACGTCAAGTGACCTTACCTCAGAAAAAAAAAATTCCAAAGCTCGCTGTAGCTACACCGACTGAGCGATCACTTTAAAACTCTCAGTAATTGCTTAGGGTAACAGTAGGTATGTATAAAATGGATACCTCGGATTTTTTATGTCTGTGGCCTAAGGTCAGGTCAATTTTGCGACTGCTCCATTAGGTATTAAGTCAATGGGAGAATATTGAAATGCGCCTCTTTTGAACGAATTTCGTTCTACACCCTCGTCCATAGTTAAACATGACACACTGAATCGGAAAATTGCACCTGTGACCCCTGTGTGTGCCCCTGATGTCATTTTAGGACATAAAAGGTCTTCAACAGTTTTTTTT